TCTTAAAAATTGTGGGGAACTTACTGAATGAAATTTACCCTCAGGAGAAGATCTGTATAAGGCATGTGCACCACTTAAATCCTACGTAAGCTCTATTTTGAGGGCTTAGGTGATTCATAGCCCTTATGCCTGCATATGGGTCATGTTTCACTGTAATGGGCATGAAAATGTTTCCAGGTTTTGTTTTGTTTTTTTTTTGTTTTTTAATTCAATTAAGACAGTTTTGGCAAGGTTTGAACATTCCACTCTAGTGTTGGAAACCAAAAAACACCATTTTGCCAATGTATGAGAAATAGAAAGTGAACCTCACTATGAATCAGACTCAAAATCTTCTTTAACCATCTGAGTGAATGGGAAACATAATGCTGTCCCTTTTTTACCTGAATGGCTAGTCAAAATTCAGAGTCCTGGGGATGTTCCAGTTGGGAGTAGAAATTGATTATGGAATCTAGGATGTTCTTTGATGCAATCTTGTTTAGAGTTTACAAAATCCTGCTTCTGCAAAGGCAAAAGGAGCAGTTTCTTACCTGACAGCCCCAAGCCTCTTTAGCCAGCACCAGACCCAAAAGCTGTCTTTCTAGCTTCTCCCAGGGTCACTCTCATGCTGTGTTTACAGGGTTCTGCTTGGATTTCTTCAGGTTGTCTGGGCTGGGTCTCTCTTCTCCTTCTCCCAACCCGTTCCCCAAAACAATACTCGGGGGGCGAGGGTGGGGGAGAAATCAACCCATACAGTCCAGAACTCATGGGTGAGTTCACAAATATCTTTTGCCTTAGGTGAGAGAGTGTGATTAACTTATCTTTACAGTTATGTTAATTGAAGGGTGGGTTCCCATTTGTCAGTCTCAGTAAAGTTTTAACTCAAAAGATTTCACCCAGCTTTCCCAGACCTAAAGAAGAGCTCCATGTGGCTCAAAAGCTTGTCTCTCTCACCAACAGAAGTTGGTCTAATAATAAATATCTCTTCCATCTTGTGTGTCTAATAACATTGAAGCCAATTAAGGGCTTCCACAGAGACAATATTCTGAGGGTATATGTGCACTGAATTATAAACCTGAATCTGTGAGACCCGGGCTTGTGGACTCCGTGTTTCCAAGCCTGTGTGTCAGCCATGCAAATGTGTCCCCACTGTACTATGCAGACCTTCGGACTGAGTTCTGCAGCTTGACTTCCATCCACAGTGCAAAATGACAGAGCTTGGACCTAAGTCACAGTGGGCCAGTCCACTAGCCAGAATCCCTAGGGTACCGCGAATTGGGGCAACTGCCCTGGGCCTCGTGCTTCGCAAGGAGGCGGGCAGGGAAGTGAGAGGAGTGGGGGGCAGGAAGGAGCACCCCTACCAACCTCCCCCTCCCCCCAGTGCCTCCTGCCCGCCAGCAGACCCCGCCGATCAGCACCTCCCACTGCCTCCCAGCACCTACCGCTAATCAGCTGTTTCGCAGCATCTGGAGGTGGGGTGGGAAGAGGTGGGGCGGGGGGTGGGGCCTTGGGGGAAGGGGTGGAGTGGGGGCAGGGCCTGGGCAGAGCTGGGGGGGAAGCACCCCCCGGCAGATAGAAACTCGGCACCTATGTCCTGAACCCTGCACCCCCATAGGGACCGCCCTGCCACTAGCAAGGTCCTGCGATCCAAGTCCTGAGTTCTCACTGACCTAAGTCTCACTGACTGATTTGTGTGTGGACAGAAGGGGGCTTGGGCTCAAACCTGAGTCAGAGCCCAGGTTCAATGGGCAGTATAGAGACCCATCTTGAGCTGAGAGTCCCAGGGCTTCCTGGCTCTTCTCCTCACAGCAGGAAGCGTGGAAGCCCTAGTGTCCCTGGACTGTGTTTCCACTGATGTTTTGTTTGAAAACATTTAGTTGTAGATGAATGAGCATTTTCTGATGACAATGCCATTTCCTCAGAAATCTCATAACAGGCTCTAATAGGGAAGTATTTTTATCTCCATTTTATGGATAGGAACCTGAGGCACAAATTGACTTGTCTGTTGACAAAGGAAGCCTGTGGTAGAGAAGGGAATTTAACTAGTGTCTCCCAAGTACCAGGCTAGTGCTCAAAACATGTGGGATATCCTTCCTCTCAATACACCTTGGACTAATCCAGAATTAGGCCAATTCTTGACAAACATTTTGCTCATTTCTAAATATAATTTTGCTTCAACCACATTGAGAGTCACCCATTTTTATTCACGTTTTACAAACATTTATGTGACTGAAGTTCCCCTTACAAATGTTCGCAGAAAGCAATTAGATCCTGGGATTTGTTCGATCACAACATACAATTGGCTTTGTTTTTAAATTAAATTTATTTTGGATAAAAGCAAAATTAATTTATAAAGGTTAGGTCAATCAAACAGGTAACAGAAACAGTGGCACATGGTGCCAGGTCATCAGTCACACCACCCAACTAGTGAATCATGAAGAATTTGTTGCAGAGAATAGTTTGTGACTGATCCACCAGCTGAAATTTGTTAGGAAAAAAAATCCAAATAGTTGCCAATATGGAACAAAATAATATAATTCACAGTCTCACTGTGAATTTCAACTGATGTACAGAGAAAGAGCTAAATTAACTCAAAACCAAATTCTCCCTTGTGTAGAAGGACTGCACAAGGTCTGTGCATTATTTAAGTCCCACCTAAACCTTCTGGGTGAATATTGGGTGAATTTCACTCTAAAGTTAACTTAGGATGTTGTGCTAGTTGAACAGTGGTCTGATTCTGTCGGGTACAACTTGTGTTTGTTTCACCAAAGGACACAGCTCTTTACAGCTAAACACATATGGAAAGGTAATTGTTCAAGTGTAAGAACTGTCCTTAATTGTTTCTGACAATACTTCACCACTTTCCACCACCCATCCATCCACCCACCCCAAAAAAGAAAAGACCAGAGGAACAGACAAGGTGTGTCCATGCCATAGAGCTTAGCAGGTATAGTACCAAGAGCAGAGGATCCACTGCTATGTGGAATTTCTTTTCTGTCCTACCTGCAGGGAGCCTGTGTAAGGCCCCATAAGCTGGGTTGGAGCAATCGCCAGATAGCAACTCCTTGGCTGCTCTGCGGCCTGGATGGAGTGTTCTCATGCCTTTATCCACTACGCATTTGCTGGTGCACAGTCCAGCTGTTTGGTCAGACACTGACCCCTGCATTTTCTTCCTCTGTGTCAATGCTGTAGTAAGTAGTCACGCAAACTGCCTGAGACATGAGTTATCTATCACTTAACAAGGCTTATCACAGATGTTGAGATAAGGAAGAATATATTCCACAGCGCGCACACACCAGCTGTTTCTAACATCCTCTTTCCCTAGATGTAATTGACTCTGCCTTTTCTCCTTCAAAATTGTTGAATTGAGATGTTTGTTTATATAGAGACACAAAGGAACATAAAATGTTATCTCCATTGATGACTGGTTTTTTTCATTCAGTGGCAGACACTTTAATGTGCCACATGTGCCTAATGACACATCACACCTGAGTTTTATAACAGACAGAAGGGACTTAATCCATACAAAAGCAATTTTAACATGCATGCTTTCTCACATCACACCATTATCAAGTTCACTTTTTTATTCCTAAGGTTTCATTTTTTTTAATGACTGAATCCCTCACTCATGCAGACTTCGCTTCAAATCCTACCTTGGCTCCCAAGTCTCAGTTGAGTCCATATTAAAAATCATCATAACACAGTGGTGGTCCTGCTCGAGACAGACTCAGACCTTAAACGTTATGGATGTTTTGGGTCAGGATTAAGCTGCAGTGGCAGGAAGCTCTTGATGCCTCTATCAACAATGTTTAGCTTGGGCTATTAATTCCTTATTTTCATTACAAAATTCACACCTGATCAAAATAAAAATTGACATCCTCCCCTGTGCAAAGTAAAGCAGGAGTCAGTTTGATAGTGGTCTATATAATATTTGCCTTAACTAGGGCCTATGATTTATCAGCATTAAATTTTGGTGTCTGATCCTTTGCATTCTCAGCCCCTATTTAATATTCATTCTTCTCCTGTATGTGGTCTGATTGTCTTGGACACATTTCCTTCATGTTTAGCATTCATTATACTCTGGCTCCCACTGAATTGAAGGTTCTCAGCACCTCACAGGGATGCATCCCATATCATAGTGCACATATCAGCCATGGGGAGGGTTCAGATATTTCAGCTACTTTATGTCTCTCTCTCCCTATAGAAGCAAGCGTGCTGCCTCCACAATCTAGTCCCTGGTAAACAGGAATCTCTCAGGACCTACATTTGGATCCCTCACAGCTACCCTACCAATAAACTATCAAGCAGACCAAAATTGTTTCTTGTCAGCACCATCAAAACATGTTTCTCACTGGATGCGCTTTGCAAATTGCAGTGACAACCTTAGGAAGGGAATTGTGTACAGTAGATGTGTATTGAATTTCTCTCTCCTGCTGTTTGGAGAATGTGATAGGCTCTGTAGAGTTGCAGCCTGAACTTTGGACTTTCTCAGGCTCATCAATTTCACATTCATTCAACTCCGGTAGATGATTTGATTGCCTTGGAAACCTTTTTAAAAAATGCTTTAATATGCATGATGCTTGGTCACTCCGTGCCACGCAAGTTTGCCAGCTGAGCCTCTGTGCTCATCCTGACTCAGGATAATGTCAATGTGTTTTATTTAATTCTGACAAGGATCATCATACTTATTTGCCTGCTTGAAATAGAAAACAACGTTCTTTCCCATCAAACACTTACAGTAGATCAGAACTAAAATGAAATCTCAGCTGATGAAAGCCTCTTCCTGAAACAAAAAAATATCCAAGGGCAAATGAGAGCTGCAGCCCTTCAGTCACATTTAGTTCCTCAAAAAGGTTTTACTTCTGTTCACTCTTCCTGTATTTTGCGAACTTGTGTGCTTGCAACAGAAGACGATGCACAACTGCAACAGTTGTTTAAACTTTTTAATCATGTGGCAAAGCAGTAAAATATCTGCAATGTATTTCATGAGCAAAGATTCCAAATTGTCTAACTTTTTTCAACAGGCAAGCAGTCCTACAACAGGAACAGCTCCTAGGAGTCAGTCACGGTTGTCTGTATGCCCTTCTACTCAGGACATCTGTAGGTAGGTGCTGAATCAGTCATTTAAATCTGTCTGTCAAACATTAGTTGTTTTCTTTCGCTAATCAGCTATAAGCTCTTGCTTCTGCCTGGCATTATTCATGAATTACATACGTCTGGGTTTTCTTTTGAGCTCTTGTTTTTGTCATGTTTCCTTTTCAATCTCATATTTTCTATTAAATCAACTCATTTCTATTTTCATCTTTTTTTTTTTTTGCTCTCTCCTTACCATTTTCCATCCCTTTCCTTTGCTGCTGCTTTGTTTAGATCTACCACCTTGCATGATGTGTCAGAAGATGAGTTTGAACATGCAACACCTGTCATGGTGCTGACCCCTGCTAGTAGGGAGTCTGGTAAGAAACAAGTGAAACGAAGGTGTAGGCGGAGGAAAGAGACTGGTGACAATGTTGAGCATACAGAAAAGCAAAGAAAAGAGAAGGACTCCAGATTGTACCCAATGGTTGCAAGCTCCAGATGCAATGCTTTGCACAAGGAAACATCTGATTCATCATCCTCAGATGAGAATCAGTGGGCTCAGGCTAGAAGGAGAGCCAGAGAAAAGGTTAAAAAGCCCAGGAGAGGGAGAAGGAGCAATAGATCTTGCAGTAACACAGATGGATGTCCAAATAACAATGCCATTGAACTTGTCACTCTGGGGACAACAGGGGAAAAGAAAAAAGAGGTGTCTGATTCTGATAACCACACTTTAAATCACCGGAGGAGAAGGGTTTCAAGATGTAAAGAATCTTGCCTTTCGCTGTCTTCAGTGTCCTCTCTGGAGGCGAGGAATTATTCAAGAAAATGTGGAAAAAACAAGGGCAGAAGCTACCCCCAAGAGCTGCAGTCTTCATCTCACCTTAGACAAAATAAAGTGGCCGAGGAAGGTTTTACAGAGAGAGGCTCTGGCAGTGATACTCTGACAGTTCCAGAAAATGGAGAACCTGTTGGGGCAGCGCCCAATGTGACTGATGCAGTTCAGAAACTTCCTGTTTTATATGATGACTGGTCTGATGATTTAGAAGTATGCAGGTTAGTCTCTAATAAGAAAGATTGGATATTACCAAAAGGAATTGATTATTGCCATGAATTATACATGTGCCTTTTACCTGATTCTTGCTGTCATTTGGATCTTTTTTTTTTTTATAACTACTGCTCAGTAGCTATCTGTTAGGGACTGTGATTCATAGCACAAAATAGTTGATAAAGGAAGATTTCTAAAGATAGGACACCTAACTCATTTAACAACACTAGTAGCACAGAATTAGATTCCCACCTCCTACATGATGATTTGTCCTACCAAGTTTGAGACACTGTGCACTCAGGCATGAGAATCAGAGATTGAATGGGAAGATCAGATAGCTCAATGCTAATGGGATACGGAGGCTTTCATTCTTATATGACCAGTTCAAATCCATCTCTGGTCTGTAGTGATTGAAATGTGTTACTCTCTGGGACTGTTCATTGACCTACATGAAGTGAGTTCTTGGTCTCAAGTCAGTGCATATTATACATGACATCCTTATAGCTGGCATTCCTTTGGCAGGCTTGGCACATACATTAAGGGTTGTATCAGCATGAATAGTGAACTACCTTCCAGGTTAGGACAGAGGTATGCTGGCAGGTAGTGTGGGGAAGTTTGTGCAGCTGCTATCCATGATGTGTTATGTGAATTAATAGAGGTCTTTGGTTTCCAGGGCTGTCAGTCTGGCACCATTCACAGTGACAGACCCTTGGAAGTGCATGGAATAATAATAAATTCAATATTTGAAGGAAAAAATATATTAAAAGGAATTAGAATTAAGATAAAGTAACATCAACAAGTTGTCCAGCTAAGCAGAGAAGTTGTGCCTGAGGAAACTATTAAAAGGAAGGATTTCAGACCAACATCACAACATTAAATCAGTACATGGCAGTGTGTCAGTGGATCTGAAAGATCACAGGATTGTGAGTAAAAACACTCTTCAGCTTACTGACCCCTTTAAAACTGAGTGAACTTGAGTAAATCAATTCATCAGTAAATTGAAAAGGAAGTTATAGGGGAGAATCAGGCATTAAAGTTAGTATTTCTTTAAAAAAATATGCTGGGCCTTTTTCTCATTTCCAGTGAGTCCCCTGGCAGTGGGCCTTACTGTAAATGAGAATCAGACCTAATATGTTGGTACAGTGACTGAAAACGTTGCAATCTTCTTTTTGGGAAGAATTGGTATGAAAATGTAAACAGAAGTAGAATGGGGAAATGAATGTGTGTGGTGAAACTACATGGCGTGATACAGTGTACTTTGTGTCTGGCAGTAAGCTCCTATGGTCCTGATTAAGAAAATTGTCAGGCAGTGGAAGTATAGACAGTGTGCTCCTTCAGATTACTATATGTAAGATATAATTATTAGTGGATCATGTGCTGTACATCCTTCAATGGCAAGCCACAACATAGCTCCCTTTTTCATTATTTGTTTGTTGTATCTGCCTGTTGTGTCTCATTGTGAGATCTTGGGAGCCGGGCCCATCATTTTGTTTTGTGTTTTGGTCCTGATCCATGCTTGGGGCCCTGCCTACTTCTGCAATAAATTATTATTATTATTATTATTATTATTTATTTATATTACAGTAGCACTTTGAGACCTGAACATATATTGAGGGTCCATGTGCTAGGTACTGTACAAATATAGAATAAGAAAATTCAGTTATGAACTGAATATAATTCTCTCTTTACCCAAAATAAATATGTCCACACAAGGGCTTGCCCGGATTTAACTAAATCAATTTTAAAAAATGATTTAAATGAAACAAGTGTAACTTTTTCAGGTAGACAGGGCCTAGTTGCTGCCCCAACCCATGAACTCAAATTGTGTTTTCAGATGCAAGCATGGACTCCATTTTTCTCTTTATTGCTTTTCTGTCCACCCACCCAGCTTTACTATGACTGTCCTGGGAATCCTCTATCTGTAGAGCTATGGCTGCTACCTAATCCACATTTTGCTCACCCTGGGGCTTGCAGGAAAGGAGGAGAAAGGTCATGTAGGGCGAGAAGGAGGCCTAGGAACTGTTAAATTAAATTTCCTTTATCATCTTATGTGTTTCTCAAGTGTACTTTCACTACAGTGTTTATGCACCAAAATAAATGTGTGGTACATTAGGTAGGGTCAGAAACTAGGAGATAGGAGGATATTACAGAGAGGGAAATAGGAGGACCCTTTAAGGTTCAACCGTCATAGTTGCTTTTACAGCAGGGTAAAATTTCCTGGCTTGAGGCTGGAAGTGAAACTTTTGAAGGTTCACATAAAACTCTGGCCCAGGCTCAAGTGTAGTGAAAAAGGGGTGCCCAGCTTAGAGAGGGGTGTGCCCTACTTGATCTCATGGTAAACATGAACACGGAGTAGGTATATGAAAGGATCAGGCACCCTTATGAGAAGCTGGCAAATCTCTCTACCTGGCTCTTTGTCCCATCTTGTTGACTCTTCATTGTGGTGGCACTGTAGCTGTGCTAGTATTAGATATGGATGGGATAGAAACTGGTAGCTTCCTGTGTTTCCACTCTATCCTGATTCCATTAGTTATGGCCAAGGTTGGAACGTGTAACTGCCTTAGTTGAATCCAAGTGTTTTGTCCTGGTTTGATTATAAAAATAAGGGAAGCACGTTTTCTTCTTGTACGACATATTAGTAAGAAATCTCCACTACTGTAATTTTGCTGCATACACAATTCCTTTCTAGTTTATTAAAAAACTCCCTGTTAATATTCAGCAACATCTAATACCTGCTTGACCCATGAACCTATCTTCAGTATTCACTCTGAAAATACACACAGACACATGCAACCCAAAATAAGACTGAGTGATTAAAATCACAAAAGAAAGCATCACAGGCATGTTTAAAATTAGATAAATGCTTGAACAGAGTCTCAGCCCTGACTTTGCCAGATTGGAATTGCTGAGGGAGCACACAAATGCAGGTGGAAAGCTACCCTAAAGGAGTAGCCAAAGATTCCCCTGACATCAGGAGGAACAAGGAAAGGGTGGGGCAGAGTATATGGCATTCCACCTGAGACCTAGGCAGCTCTGCAGTGTCTCTGTGTGACTGCTACAGCCTACATAATTGGATCCATGGCACCTCCTTTCCCTGTCACTCTGCTCAGCTCTATGGAGTGTAAATGTGGCACAGCTGAGAATCTGCCCTCTTCTTTTAAAATGCTGCCATGTTAAGAGAGACATAAGGCCACCCTTTCCTCACTCTCAGGGAAAGTGCTGTATTACTTGCAGTCATTCTAGATCAATGGTCTCCAAAATGGGGTGCGTGCACACCAGGGGGTGTGCAAGAGGATCCTTCAGGGTGCGCAGTAGGAGGAGCAGTCTTTTTTTTTTTTGCTTCGGCAGTTCGGCTTTTTTGTTGTTGTTGCTGGGGGTGGCAAAAATGGTAGAGCTGGCCCTGCGGCGTGGCAGGGGGTGCATGCTCAAATTTTGTTTATTGATAGGGATGCGCGATCAAAAAAGTTTGGAGACCACTGTTCTAGATGTATCACCTATGGAAGATTGCACATCTAGGAAGGATGCTACAAAATCAAAATCATGCTAATTTTTCATTGCTACTAAGTTATTTTACTTGTTAAATTTGCCTACAGCTCCACAGAAGGGAGAAGATGTATTATGCGATAATACTGATTCAGCTGAAAGAATCTTACTAGGTACTGTGGTACAAGCTACTTAGCTATTTAGTCAACAGCTGATTTGTAGTTTCTTTCCATAGATTCAAATGTTTCTTTCAGGAATAAAAAAAGGAATGAAATATTCACTTTGGGGTTGTTGTATGTGCTCATATAGTCACACTCTTCTGCACTGCATATCCTGGCATATAGGGCATACACTCTACCCATCTATGTGTCGTATTCAGAGTGAGTAAAGTGCTGCCAACATATTAATAAGGAGCTCCCTCCAAATTTCCACATAAGTCAGTGATGCATGTTTACTGCAGTGTAAGACTGGGTGGCTGGTCAGGGATTGGACACTTTAGCGTCTTGAGGTCGAACAAGCTTCCCCTCATGAGAGGTGGTCTCTTTTAGCTGGGGCAAGGGGTTAGGTCAGGGAAGTGGATCTCTGCATTGTATGGGGGTGTCACCGTGCCCTAGTGGTTGACAGCTGAGGATACCAAATTCAGGACAAACTGCTGAGGCTCACGCCAAACTGGTGGTTATTCTATTGTTAGATATGCCAAGCCAGAAACAAAAGTAAACTTCTGTCTCACCACACTGGTTAACAAGAAGTCCAAACTGCAGTCTCCTTAGGCATTCCAGCCCTTGTTTCACCACCCAGAAACTAGATTTATGATGTGTGGTTATTTATAACCAATGTATCCAACAAAGGGTCCTTCTAATCTCAAAAGAGCAGCCATTTAGCCAGGTCCATATATAACTCAGATCTTACCCAATAATCACGCTGTTGCCAATCCTTTATTATCTAATATCTAAAAGTTTATTTATAAGAGAAAAGAAGGAGGAGAGAGTTAAAATTTGATCAAAGAAATTATATACATACATACATACTCATTGCAAAGTTCTTGAATCAGGTTTGTAGCAATGTTGGAATAAACTACTGGCTTGTAAAGTCTCAACTTCCAAGAGATTGGAAGGTCCTCAGTCCATTGGTTGGAATGCTCCTTTTAGTGGAAGTTCATAGTCCAGAGATCAGAGCAGGAAAGAGGCAAAATGGAGATGGTTCCAGGGTCTTTTATATCATCACCAATGTGGGGAGGATGCTCTTATTCTTAGTTCGTGGAAAATTACAGGCACAAGATGAAGTCCAGGGTCACATGAGAAAGTCACATGCCCTTGCATGCTTTGATGACTCATAGGAGTAGCCATTACTCATATTTTGGCTAATGGGGTGGGGACAAGCTGCTTCTATATCTGTGTCCTTTAATGGTTGGTCCATTCACAATGTGCTGGCTAGACTGGATATAAACTACCTGGTGGGGGTTACCTGAGGAGCAAATGCGTTTGAAATACCGGTATATAGTCAATATTTTCAACTTCAGATACAA